CAGAGTTTTGTTCTATTCTTTCATTTGGGACATATTTCTTTGTGTCTTAATTATGGCTGCTTCTCTGTGTTTGTTTCTATGTATTAGGTAGAGCTGCTATGTCTCCTAGGCTTGGTAGGGCAGCCTATTGTATTAGGTGTCCTGTAGGGTGCAGTGGCACAGCCTCCCTAATCACCCTAAAAGTGTGATTTTAAAATATTTTATTAGATTTTAGAAATTAAAATATGAACATATTTGCTTGTGATAAAGTAGAGTGATGGTTGTTTTATGTGTAAATTTCAGAATAGAATAATGATATCTCAATAGCTACAAAATATTTCATTAGAGATATGCCTTATTTTATTGTATGTTTAACTCATCTAAAATTTTTTATTATTATATATTATGCTATAATGAATATCCTTAGGATTGCTTCTTAGAAGTGACTCATTATTTCTTGAGCTTTATAAGATACTAGAGGAGAATATCTTCACGATTTCAGGACAGAGAAACATTTATTAAGCTAGACACTAAAAAAAACCCATAAAAATAATGCATACATTTAACTATATTAAAATTAAAATGTTCTGTTCATCAAAGTATCATTGCACAAATAAAATGGCAAGATAAAGAGTAAGAGAAAATATTTCCAAAACATACAGAGTTGACCCTTGTACAACATGGATTTGAACTGCACAGTTCTACTTACATGCAAATTTTTAAAATATGCACAGTACTGTAAATGTATTTTCTGTTCCTTTTGATTTTCTTAATAACATTTTTTTCTCTAGCTTTATTGTAAGAATACACTATAAGATACATATAAAATATGTGTTAATAGACTACTTATGTTATCAGTAAGGCCTCTGGTCAACAATAGGCTATTAGTAGTTAAGTTTTGGAGGAGTCAAAAGTTATATGTGGATTTTTTTGCCCTGGCTGGGTAGCTCAGTTGTTTAGAGCCTGGTCCTAATATGCCAAGGTTTTGGGTTTGATCCCTGGTCAGGGCACATACAAAAATCAACCAATGAATGCATAAATAAGTGGAATAATAAATCAGTATCTGTTTATCTGTCTGTCTGCCTGTCTCCCCCCCCCCCTCCCATCCTCTCTCTCTCAGAATCAATAACTAAAAAATTTTTTTCTTAAAGAACAAAAATTATATGTGGATTTTTGACTTTACAAGGGGTTGGTGCCCATAACCCCCATATTGTTCAAGGATTGACTATGATTAGTAAATGGCTTGGATTCAGAATATATAAAGAAGTTCTATAAATTCATAAGAAAAATAACCAAACAACAGTGAAAATACTATATACAAAATTCGTGAGTATAGCTAATGTAGTATTTAGAGAATAATTTATAGCATTAAATATATGTATTTAAAAAGAAGGATTGTTGAAAATATGAGCCAGGGGTATATTTTAGGAAGTTATAATCAAAGAATGTATAAGAATAAAATAAATTAAAGAAATAAAAATCAAACATATAATAGAGAAAAATTTTAATACTAAACTTTGTTCTTCAAAAACAACAAACTCTGATGAGACAAATATAGAAAAAAAAAAGAGGATGAACAATTAATTAATAGTAAGAATGAAGAAGGGGACATTATTAGATATCCTGTAGACATCTAAAAGATACTAAGAAGATACTATGAACAACTTAATGCTAATAAATGTAAAAAGTTTCAAAGAAATGGAAAAATCCCTAGAAATAGTAATTTACCAAAAGTGATTCATGAAGAAATGGAAAACCTGAACAAGTATAGAAATTGAATTAGTAATTTAAAATCTTTCCACAAAGAAAACTCCAAGTCCAGATGGCTTTACCTGTGAATTATATTGAACATTTAAGGAAAATAAAAATCCATAAACTCTTCTAGAAGTTTAGAAGTTTTGACTCTAAAAGAACCATAGTTACACTTCTTAACTCACTTCATGAAATTAATATGACCCTGACCTTCAAATCTGTCAAAGTTAATATTGGAATATTAAAGGCCAATCTCACTTATGAACATAGATATAAAAACTCCAAATAAAGTATTATTAAATAAATTTAACATCATATTAAAAGGATAGTGCATATGACCAAGTTATAATTAATCCTTGAGATGTAAGGTTTGTTTAATATTCAAAATCCAGTTAATGTAATTTATCACACTAATGTGTTAAAGAAGAAAAATCTTATGATTATCTCAATGGATGCAGAAAAGCATTTGATAAAATTTAACTCCCATTGAACTAAATGAATAAATACTTTTTAAAAAATAGCTTTTGCCAAACTGGAACTTTCTTAATTTTATAAAGGCTACCTTTCAAAAAATAACCAATGCAAGCAAGCATCATTCTTAGTGGTGAAATAGTGTAAGTTTTCCCTTTGAAAATTGGAATAGAACAAAGATACCCATTACTACCACTTTTATCCAACATTAAACTGGAGGTTCTGGCCAGCACAGTGAAGAAAGAAAATAAATAAGGATTGGAAAAAGAAGAAACAAAGCTGCATTAGTTATAGATGATATAATAGTGTACAAAGGAAATAAAAAATAATCTATAGATAATTAGCATTATTAAGAGAGTTCAGCAAGATTCCTGGACTTAAAGAAAATCGATAAAGAAAAATCAATGTATTTAACAGCAACGAAAAGAAAAATATATTTTAAAAGGGTAGCATTTGTAATATGATTTAATAATACCAAATCATGCCCAGTCAGTATGGCTCAGTGGTTGAGAATGACCCATGCACCAAGAGGTCACAGGTTAGCATTTGTAATATGATTTAATAATACCAAATCATGCCCAGTCAGTATGGCTCAGTGGTTGAGAATGACCCATGCACCAAGAGGTCACAGGTCCAAGTCACAATCAGGGCACATGCCCAGGCTGTGGTCTCAGTCCCCAGTAGGGGGTGTACAGGAGGCAGCCCATCAATGTTTTTCTCTCATCGATATTTCTATCTCTCTCCCTCTCCCTTCATCTCTCTCTAAAAAAATAATAAATAAATATTTTTTTAGAAAAACCAAATCACTAGGAATAAATCTAATAAAAACTGAGTAAGTCTCCAATGCAAAAAAATATTAAACGCGGCCCTGGCCGGTTTGGCTCAGCCGGTTTGGCCCAGCGGTGAGAGCATCGTCCTGCAGTCCAGAGAGACTCGGGTTCGGTTCCCGCTAAGAGCACATACTTAGGTTGCAGTTTGTCCCCGGCCCTGGTTGGGTCGTGTGGGTGGCAGCCACTCAATGTGTCCCTTTCTTTCTTTTTTTTTTTTTATCCTCACCCAGGACATTTTTTCATTTTTTACTCAGATAGAGCGGGAATGAGAGAGAGGAAGAGAGAGAAACATCGATGTGAAAGGGACACATCGAGTGGCCGCCACCCACACGACCCAACCAGGGCGGGGGACAAACTGCAGCCAAGGTACATGCCCTTAGGGGGAACCGAACCCGGGTCTCTGTGGACCACAGGCTGATGCTCTAACCGCTGAGCCAAACCGGCCAGGGCCAATGTGTCCCTTTCACATCAATGTTTCTCTTCCTTTCTCTCTCTCCCTCTCTCTCCCTCCCACTCTATCTGAACAAGAAATGAAAAAAAAATGTCCTCAGGTGAGGATTAAAAAAAAAAAATTAAACGCATTATTGACAGATCTTTTTTTTAAAGATGTTTTTTTTTTGTTTTGTTTTTTATCCTCACCCGAGGACATTTTCCCATTTTTTTTGTTCAGGTAGAGTGGGAGGGAGAGAGAGGAACAGAGAGAGAGAGAGAAACATCGATGTGAAAGGAACACATCGAGTGGCTGCCACCCGCACGACCGACCAGGGCCGGGGACAAACTGCAACTGAGGTACATGCCCTTAGCGGGAACCGAACCTGGGTCTCTCAGGACCGCAGGTCGATGCTCTAACCGCTGAGCCAAACCAGCCAGGGCAGAAATTAAAGATCTTAATAAATGGAAATTTATTCATGGATTTGGTAGATTCGATATTTCAAAGAGTGTCAATTCCTCCCAAAGTGATCTATAGATTCAGTTTTATTTCTTTTTCTTTTTCTTTTTTTTAATTTATTTTCTTTTTTATTTTTTTTTATCATCCTCACCCGAGGACATTTTTCCACTTTTTGTTCAGGTAGAGTGGGATTGAGAGAGAGGAACAGAGAGAGAGAGAGAAACATCGACGTGAAAGGGACACATCGAGTGGCTGCCACCCGCCCAACCAACCAGGGCCGGGGACAAACTGCAACCGAGGTACGTGCCCTTAGCGGGAACCGAACCCAGGTCTCTCCAGACCGCTGGCCAATGCTCTAACCGCTGGGCCAAACCGGCCAGGGTGATTCAGTTTTATTTCTAATAAAAACTGAGAATTTTTTATGGGATTTGACAAGATGATTTTTAAATCTATATGAACATACAAAAGGCCAAGAATAACTAAGTCACTCTAGAGAAAGAATGAAGTAGAGGAAATGCTGTGCCAGATTACTCCAAAGCTATAGTAATAAAGAGAGTGTGGCATAATTTGGGAATAGACAGGTCAATGGCGTAGAGATGAGACCTACATACAACTAGATGCTTGATTTCAGACGGAGATAGCAGTGTACAGCAGAGGTAGAAAGACAGACTCTCAATAAACTTGGCTGGAATAATTAGGTATCCATATGGGAAAAGAATGAAATTGGACCCCTACCTCACACTATACACCAAAATCAACTCCAGGAGCATATGGCCCTATATATAAAAGGCAAAACTGTAAAGTTTTAAAATAATAATGTAAAAGAGTAACTTCATAATCTAAGGTATGGAAAATTTTCATAAACGAAACACAAAAAGCAGTACCACAAAGGAAAGGTAGATGAAATGAAGAATCTCTATGTATCAAAAGACAACACTAAGAGAATGAAAAGACAAGCTACAAATTAGCAGAAGATAATTACAATAGGTAAAACTAACAAAGGGATTTTACCCAGAATATACAGAGAACTCATAAGAATTGCTAACAAAAGACAGTCCAGTAGAGAAATGGGCGATCCGGTGCTCACTTCAGCAGCACATCCACTAAAGTTGGAACAAATGATACAGAGATGATTAGTATGGCCCCTGTGCAAGGATGACATGAAAATTTGTGTCATATTTTAAAAAAGAAAAATGGGCAAGCCAAACTCATCAACTTGCATACATTAAATATTACAGCTTTTGCCCTGGCCGGTTTGCTAATGGTTAGAGTGTCGGCCCGTGGACCGGTGAGCCTCGGGTTTGATTCCTGTCAAGGGTATGTACCTCAGTTGCACTTCGATCTGCAGCCCTGGTTGGGGTCGTGCGGGAGACAGCCACTCGATGTGTCTCTCTCACATCGATGTTTCTCTCTCTCCCTCCCTCTTTCTCTTTCTCTCTCCCCCCATCCCTATCTGATGATAAATGGAAAAATATCCTCTAGTGAGAATTAAAAAAATAAAAATAAACATTACATTAGATCCTACCATTGAGGTATATCAACCATACCTCAATTAAGTGGTTTTAAAATAAATAAATAACCTGGTGAAAAGAAAAAAGAAAAACGGGCAAAGATAGGCACTTCAAAAAAGAAGAAACCCAAAGGCCAATAACATAAAAAAGTGTTCAACTTCTTTGATAATCAGGGAAATATAAATTAAGATCACAATAAGAGCACTACACAACAAATTGACTAATATTTAAAAGCCACAATATATGGATACAATATTTGGATCCACAATATATGGATACAAAAAATGGATACAACATTTATCCATATAAATTTACGCATACTTGTACAACCACCTTGAAATACAGTTCAGTTGCCCAGGCCAGTGTGGCTCAGTGGCACAACCCATGCACTAAGAGGTCACCAGTTCGATCGCTGGTCAGGACACATGCCCAGGTTGTGGGCCAAAACCCCAGTAGGGGGCATGCAGGAAGCAGCCAATAGATGTTCTCTCTCACTGATGCTTCTATCTCTCTCTCCCTTTCCCTTCCTCTCTCTCTAAAAATCAATAATGAAAAAAAAAAATTTTTAATAGTTCAGCATTATTCCATTAAGCTGGAAATAACGTACTCTATGACCCAGTAATTCCATTCCTAGACAAATATTTTACAGAAAAGAGTGCTTACAGGACAGGAAACATGAACAAGAATGATCACAGACGCTTTGTTTGCAACAGCCCTGTCATAGGTCAGGTTCCCAGGAAACAGACGCTGAGATGGAGTATGAGATATTTATTAGAGATATTAGGGATCAACATCTGTGAAGGGAAGGAAGAGGAAACAGTACTGAGCAGAAATGAAACTGTGATGCAGGTTTAATTAAGTCTAGGCCAACTTGACGGGGAACTCTGGAGCATCTGAACTGTCCCATATCAGATGGAAATGGTCTGACCTTATATCCTTGCTTTGTTCAGTCCCAGGATGCAAGCTGCTCTGGCAGGAGGCAAAGAAGCTCAGGCAGACCCTCACGAAGCTGCCAGTTTCTTTTGATTACACTGCCTACAGCTGGACAGCAAATCCTTCCTTGAGGTGGGATCTGGGTGGCACATCTTTACATCTGCCACAAGCCCAAACTGGCAACAGCCCAAATGTCTATCAGCTGAATAAAAGTTAAACTCTTCTGTGTTCATATGACATACCCATAATTCCCCAATGTTTCCTCATGCACCTTTGTGATCTATCCATCCCAGAGCAACCACAGATCTTGCTAATACTTGATTTGGTCCGTTTTTAAATTGTCGCCCTTCTAGTTGGTGCAGTTTTAATTTGTATTTCCCTAATGACAAACGATGTTGAACATCTTCTCATATGTTTGTTATCTAAATATCTTCTTTGGACCCTGGCTGGTTTGGCTCAGTGGTTAGAGTGTGCACCGTAGACCAAAGAGTCTCAGGTTCAATTCGGGTCAAGGGCACATACTTCGGTTGTGGTTCAGTCCCTGGTCCTGGTCGGGGTGGTGCATGAGGCAGCCAGTTGATGTGTTTCTCTCATGTCGATGTTTCTCTCTCTCTCTCTCTCTCTCTCTCTCTCTCTCTCTCTCTCTCTCTCTCCCCTCTCACACTCTATCTGAATATAAATGGAAAAATATCCTTGGATAAGGATTTAAAAAATAAATAAATATATATCTTCTTTGGTGAAATCTTCAAGTCTTTTGCCCATTTTTAAATTGGGTTGTATATCATTTTTGTATAATATTTGCATATGTAATTTTGTATATGGCTCATACATATAGGCCTATAATCCATATTGAATTAACTTTTGTATATGGTACATGGTGTAAGAGTCACAGCTCATTATGTTGCATGTGGCCATCCAATAGTTCTAGCACCATTTGTCGGAAAGATTGTTCCCCATTGAACTGCCTTAGTGCTATTTGTTGAAAATCAATCGATCATGTACATGGGTCTATTTCTATTTTTACACTACTATCACATTTTTTACACTAGCTTTTCAATTCACATGAATTCACTTTGTATAAGATCTAAGGTACAGATCTGGATTTATTTTTTCTCAAATAGTTAACCAATTGTCCCTGGGGGGAAAAATCATGCTTTTTATCTCTACTATTTTGAGGATCAAGCTTATTATAGATAGATTTATTATGCTACATATAAGAGTCCATTTCTGGGCAATTCTCTTTCATTGACATGTCTGTGGTTTTAGTATCAGTTGTGTGGAGAATGTTTTGATTAATATTCCACCGGGGACTGAAGAGGGAGCCCAGAGCTCCATCTGCTCCGGGAAGACGGCCCCCCCTCAGATCTCCAGACCACTCTCAGCAGGAGTGAAGAGGGCTCCTGACAAGTACTTTCCTCCTACCGCCTACAAACCTATCCTGGCCACCACCCTCTGGCTTGGGCATCTCTGGACTGCTCTCCTCAGGCCCTTAATCCCCACAAGAGGCCTAGATCTCGGGGCATCTCTCACCCCAGGACTCTAAACCCCACATGGCTCTGTGTTTCCCTTTTCCGACTTCATCACCCACTTTACCCCACGTCCAGAAATCCTTTCACTGGACTCTCTGAAACTCATGGTGTGGCAACATCAGTAAATCCCCCCATATCCTTAACCTCGTTCTGGAATGTCCCCTTTGCTTTCTTGCTCCAATGGAAAACTGCCTCCCCTGTAAGGCCTCTGCTGCCCCAGCAGCCTGTCAAGGGATGGCTGTTTTCTCTCTTGTGGCCCCTTGTATTCCTGGGTCTGGGCGTGGGAGGGGCCCATGTTGCTCCCCAATGCCACTTCTGTTTGCCCCCCTTCTTACGGACACCGACGTTTGATGCCACGTGAACAGACATGACCATCCAGTTCTCCCCCTTTTTGCAGCCATTTGCAGTCCTCCTGACACTTGCTCTCACTCCTTGAAAATGTTAGATCCGGACCCACAGCAACCCTCTCCAAGTCCCCTCCTACCTTAGTGTTTTTATTTCATCACTCATGTGGATGAACAGGGCTCTTAGCCCTTGGCCTCCTCTTCAGGATCTTGGCTTCTGCAATATTTCAGCCTCTTGCTCCCATAGTCAGACTTTGAACTAGTTGTTACTGGTCAAGGCAATTCCTTCACATCTCAATGTCATGTATCCCACTCTCCGAAAAGCACCGCCTCTCTCTCCAGCTCCCTCCCTCTGGTGCCCCCACTCCAACGATTCTTTCTGGAACCTACTGATCTAAGAAAATGTCATCATCCCCATCCCCTCGTGCCCCACTTCCCTCTTTAACTCAGCTCAGAATATAGTCACCTGGCAGAACCACAACCCAGGTTCAACTCAATCCCCTACACACTCTACACCTGCACCCACAGTCTGCCTGGGACTGACGGAAAACCTACGGTGGGCTGGCCAGTCTCACTCCACCTCTTCCTAGTTTGCTAAGAAAATAGAAGCCCTCAGACGAGCAGTTCCATGGCCTCCACCACTGCTTCCCCCACCACCTGTGCTCATCAACTCTGCCGTCAGTGGCCCTAGTAGGGGCAAACCGTCCATTTTCCTATTCAAGGACAGATGCCATCCTCATCTGTCTCCTCAAGGACTTCACTTCAACATGTATCCTCTTTCCCACCCACATCATCAAAATTTCCCTCTCTGGGGAGTATTCCCATTAACATCAAAATATTGTAATTTTTCCATCTTAAAAAGAAACATCCGCCCTGGCCGGTTTGGCTCAGCGGTTAGAGCGTCCGCCTGCGGTCCGGAAAGGCCCGGGTTCGGTTCCTGCTAAGGGCACGTACCTCGGTTGCAGTTTGTCCCCGGCCCTGGTTGGTCGTGCGGGTGGCAGCCACTCGATGTGTCCCTTTCACATCGATGTTTCCCTCTCTCTCTCTCTTCCTCTCTTTCCCTCTCACTCTGTCTGTACAAAAAATGGAAAAATGTCCTCGGATGAGGATTAAAAAAAAAAAAAAAGAAACATCCTCTTGGCCTTATATTCCCCTCAGGCTCCCACCTAACCTCTGATCCTCTTTATGGCGCAGCTCCTAGAAGAAATTGACTTTTCTTGTCGCCTTCGAGTCTTCTCCTTCCTTCCTTTGTCCCTTCCACTCCCATCAGGCTTTAACCCCCACAACTGCAGCGAAACTGCCTTTCCATGGCTGTAAATACCATTCGGTTGCTGATGACTTCCAAATTTATATCCCTGGCCTAAGCCTCTTTCTGAATTCCAACTCATATTGTCTCTAAGCAGTCTCTTGAAGCTGAATCATGGCCACTCCTCTTCAATGGGGCCCAAGTCGCCAATTCTTCCCAGTACATAGTTGGCCCTCTTCCCTGTAGACATCTGACATTTGAACCCCAATCTAAGGGACTTTCCCTCTGCACAGGCCATGGAGTAAGGGCAGCTGGACTGGGGGCCAGGGACTCAGTAAACGTTGCTGGCTGGCCGAGCAGCTCGGTGTGAAGCGCTCCTGGGGGTCAAGGTGACCACTGAGGCTACATCTCATAGGCGTGCAGGTTCCTGACCCTGAGCACTCTGCCTGCTCTCTGTCTCCTTCTTGCCTTTGCCCCTAGGTTCAGAGCACAGTTACCTTTCAGGAGGATACTGCTAAAGATCTAGTCCTGAGGACATTGCCCATCCATCTCGTGGCCTCCATGCCAAGCAGGGATTATCTCTCTTCTGAACTTCATGGTTCTCCAGAACCTCATAGAGA